GGGCAGCATATGCTGCCTCTGCCGCCCCCGTGCGCACGCCTATGCTCCCCGATCCTGCGTGAATGGCAGACGAGTTCACAGCTCGGTCCGGAAATTCACGGTAAAACACGGGGGGGGGGGGCGGATCTGAATTTTGTGGTTCGCACCAAACGACAACAGCTGATGTGATACCGCAGTCGTGGACCACGTGATAGTGGTCGTAGCTCGGTTTTTACCTTTTTTTAAAAACTAGACGCAGCCACGATGCAGATCAAAACGCTTATTGATCGAGTGTCGCGCGAGCAACGGCCGTTGATTACTGATATTAGTAATAATATACTGATATCGGTGTTTCTGTAATATTTACAGAATACAGATGGAAATGTATTAGGTATTACACATATTTTTCATTATAAAATAATTTGCTCTGATAAAAATGCATATTGTTTGTGCAACCACTTATTGTACACATATTACGTAGTTGACTGCATGTCACACCTCATCGGTATGAGAGACGGACAAGTCTTATAATCTATAGTTATTACCAGTTAATAACAATAGGACTGGATTATACAAAATCGATTTGTTTCGTTGAAAAAAGACAAGTCGGGCGAGAATCGTTTTACGGTAAATTCGTTTAAGCGAAAATCAATTTCAAGGGCAACTCTGCCCAGTATACAAATCAGTCTGGCTCGAATACAGATCGCTGGTCGCAAATAACAGCCGCGCCGCAGATGAGTATTTTATATAAAATTATTTTTAAATACAACCCTCAGTCCGGCGGTGTTTCTATCCATGCCGGGAAAATAATAATTGCCGGTTACGCGTACAGAGAGACAATACCGACGATGCCCGTTCCCATAACGCATATATATGTATATACTGTGCGAGCTATATATATATATATATACGAATATAATACGGGGAGATCGTCTTCGTCGTGAAACCGACGGTTATTATTATTAACACATACACACATCATACTTACACGTAACACACGTAAGTATATATGAATACACATCACCCCTTGCACGGTGTGTGTGTGTGTGTGTGTGTGTGTGTGTGCAGACGAGTGCGCCACGGCAGTATATAATATTCCATTATTGACAGGTGTATTCTTTTCGTCCCGCAATCGGTACAAACCCTCCGGGGTCTCGGAGGTGTACTGAATCGTTATATTACATAATATACTGAGGTATGTATGTATATGATATTATGTGTTCGATTAATTTTGGCATATCACGCTATATTATATTATTATGCTATCGTAGACGGCATAATAAATAATAATATAATATAGGTATAGTTTAACCGCCGCGTGGCCGTGTGCACGTGCACCTACTGCACGTAAACAGTGGTAAGTGGTAACGATCGAGAGTACTTAACAGCGTTATATGGGTACAATGTTGTACGGATAATACGCTCGTGTGTCGTACCCGAATCCGGAATCATTATTATTGTGGTCAAGTCGCCCGTGTCATTATATACCTATATGTATTATGATATCGTACTGAACCGAACGTTTATATAGTCCAATCGAATAGTGGTGATTATTGCCTATATCACGTTGTACACAGTACTCACCTCCATTGTTTCCTTTAATATCGATTCGTTTATTTCAATTCTGATTTTGGGAATTTTTAAATATCACACATTAATAGAGCATGTCTTCAAATCATAATAATGAGACCTCCTGTACTAGGTACTATAATATAAAGAGTGTTCTGCATTGAAACAAACCTAGGTTTTTCAGATGTAGAGTCCCGTATTTTACTGTGAATGATTTGATATTTTTTGAAAATTTTTATTTTCCTTATTGCCAATTCAAATTATAAAATTTCTTATGACTATTAAAATGTTTAAACTTAGGATTGTAAGTTTTAAAAATGATTTTACGAAAATATAAGATAGATCTTATATATTGGATCATATAGTATTTATTGATCATTATATACTTTGATAATTTTTACAAATTATTAAATATTTTGATAGTAATGAATATTAATTACTAAAATGTTCAAATCTCCATAGCCACCATAAAATCTTCCAACACCATTATATCAAGAGTACTTGTAATATTATTATTATTATTATTATCATTTTTAGCCACTAACCTTAACTTTGGGAGCCGCAAATTTATAAGGTTAATTCGCGTTGAGCCACACATTGTAAAGCAATGTTTATAAAATGAAGATACATTTTTCATTTTAAATCAAATGAAGGAACTCTGCCGTGGTCGAAACACACAGTGGTTATTTTTGGCTACACATATTAATAAGAGCTCCGTCACCGCCGCTGCCGCGCCAATCTATATCTAATAACGACTGAAATGATAACGAAACCGACGACAATGAAAACCACTATCTGACGGTTCTAATGAAATTATATATTTATTAATTTTAGACTAAGTTTGGTACAAGAGCCATTGATTTTCGAGCCGCGTCCACCCCTGGTGTACAAAGTCGAATAAATCAAAATTTTGATTTTGATGTATTAACATTCTCAGAAATATTATCCATTACATAATTGACAAAGGGTTCATATTATAAAATGGGGGTTCTCAATTGAAAAACAAAATGTTACATCCCCACAGAACACTAGAAGGAGGAAGTCCGAAAATGTTCAAGAATTTTAAAATACAGTCTTTAAGACTTTAAAAATATACGCCTAATAGTTAAAAACTCAAAAAAATCATATTTTGACTAACTGCATTATTGACGAAAAAAGGGGTGATCATGTTCGGCGAATCACCCTATATACGAATCAAAACAAAAAGAGTTACTGGGGATGCACGCTAATAATTACACGTTAATATATATTTTATACAGACGCAATTATTTATTTAATTTACCGTTGTTAAACGAATATAATATTCTCGAGACTTAGTATTATATTATTATAAGGTATAGCCGTATAGGTACTCACTATCTTACGGTTACTACTCGTACACAGACATAGGTCTATATGCGTATAATATAGGCATATTCGACATGTTATTTTTATTCCGTTCCAAAACTAACCCCTAACCGCAGGTGTATCCATTATCCACCTAAATCATAGGTATAATACCTACCTATATACAATATTATATACTTCTGACTGCGGTGTCTGTTGTATACGATAGTTAAATACTTAAATACAGTTAATGTGATATATTTAATAGCATACCTTATTGACATACCTCAACGCATTTTGAAAACAATATCTTAAAAAAAAAAAAAACCATATAATTTAATGAGGGCTTGAGATTTCAACGTTTCGCCCAGGTGTACAACAAAATATTAATTTTCTGTCGTAAATGTTGTACACCTCAAACGTTATGACTTAAAATGATAAATACCGCATAACTATATATATATATATTAAGTACGGATCTCGAATACACAACGTACGAACAGGTCAATGATTTATTAATTTGTCGAGAATAAATTGTATTTATTATCGATTCATAACGCTAACCAAACCCGAACGAGAATATGCGGGGAGTGAATACAATTGTACCTCTCCACCAGATGTACCTATAGTATTATAGTAGTGAGTATATGGTAAACATACCACAGCCCCGTAACCACCACAGTTGTGCATTATTATATTGTGTACATATTATCACTAAATTATATTATATTATATTATAATTTTATACATATCCTAATATACGCTGAATGATCGCTACGGCGGCCCGTTTCATGTGCATTATTATGATATGATACTCACACGCTGTACAATAATAATATCCTCGACCGAAGCTATATAGTATATTGTATACACATTATTTCCTGTATATCATAATAATAATAATAATAATAATATACTACACAGTCCGTTTGGTCGGCGGCACAAAAGCGATCGGATCGATGTATTCCCATATAATACCGTGTACACGGTGTCCACACACACACACACACACACACACACACACACACACACACACACACTTATCCACACTATTATATATATATATATATGTAATATACTTGTGTGTATGATGTATATGTTGTATAAATATGTACCTATATATATATATCGAGGGTACACACGGAGCTGTTTCGCCGACGACGACGACGACCAGCACGATTTATTGGCGTGATGTCTGATGCGGCACAAGGCGCCTTTTTGTTTTTTATTTTACTTTTTAACATTTATACTTCGTTCCTATCCTATATATATATAATATATGTGTATATATGCTAACGTCTCACTCGGCGAGCGGCGAATAGGCATATATATATATATATACATCTATAGATACGT